AAAAAATTGTAATAAATAATAATTATTAAAAATAAAAAGATAAATAATTAAAATTTTATTTTATTTAATTTGTAAATTATTGATTTGTAACTGGAATTAGTTTTTACGTAACAAATATAAAAGTCATTTCAAATATATATTAATTGAGGATAGTGCATCACTTTGTCTAAAAAAAAAATTAAAGTATTAGCCTACTTATAAAAATTTAAATATAAATTTAAAATTTAAAAATTCACCTTATTAAATATTATGATAAAGATATCCACACACTCTAACGTTACACATTTTATTACACCCTAACTATCTCCGTTATGCAAACTGACGATGTTTGTTACCCAGCCTTTTTTTCTCTCTCCTCTTATTTCTCTGGTGAGAACCCAGATTGGGTTCTCCAGTGGGAACCCGACTTGGGTTCTTGAGAACCCGAGGTGGGTTCTCTGGTGAGAACCCAACTCGGGTTCTCCACCGAGAGAGAGAAAAAAAAAAAAGAAGAAAGAAAGAAAGAGGTGAGGGAAAGAAGAAGAATGATCGGTGTGTACTTGACAGATTCCGTTAGTGTACTTGACGGATTCCGTTAGTGTGTGGATAGATGTGTAATGGCAGAGGGTAAGCCTATCATTGTCCTAAATATTAATGTTTGGGCACTTGGCCCTTGAGGCCTAATGGCACTAGCCATTGAAAAGTGCATTTCCTCCTTCTCTGAATGGGTTTCGAACTTGCCCCATATTAAAAAGTTAAAAAATATATATATTAATGTTTAGATTTAAAAATCAATTATACATTTTAATATAATCAATTAGATAAAATAAAGTCGTTTAAAATTAAAACTTTAATCAAGATTAATATACTCTTTTCCTATATTAATTTATTATAAGCATATATTTAACTTTTCTATCAATTAAAACTTTTTGAAATAAACAAGATAAATCATTTAATCAAATCTCTATTATTTTTTTTATCTTTGCATTTAAACTATTCCTATTTTATATTTCTTTTTTACTCTAATTTGTTTCCTATGTCCTACCTATATCAAAAAGTTTTTAATTAAGTGAAAATATAAAAAAAAAATAACTCATTACCATTAATTTAATCTCTTAATATCTTCTTATTTAGCTATTAATTTTCATTAATTTTTTTTATGATGCCATCTTTTAGCTCTTATTTATTTACCTATATTCACTCTCACTTTCTTGATATCTTTATAGTAATAATTTGTTTATTATTATTATTCTAGCATTTGATGTATAATTTATTTATATTAAAATTATTTTTAAGTAAATTGTTTTTGTACATTAATAACAATAATAATAAGGAATACTATTCGTACGTCTTATTTCAAAAAAATTAGGAGGTAAGGTTTAATAAAACGACACCGTTTCTTTTTTTATTTTCTTTCTCGGGCAGCCTTTTCCATCTTGTTTAAGGTGAGCAGCCCTATAATTTCATCTTCTTCACTGGTGAAATTACCTCGCTTGAGGTTAGGGCGGAGGTAGTTAATCCATCTGAGGCGGCAACTCTTGCCACAACGGAGAAGGCCGGCGGCTTTTGGGAGCTATCTCCAACAGCCCTCCCCGTGAGCTTTGATGTAAGATATGAGCAGGTCGTCTTCTTCTTTGGTCCAGGTTCCTTTCTTGGTGTGGCCTTTCTCACAACAAGGAGACCTTCCCATGTCTTTGTTGTGAAAATGGTTTTATTGCGTGATGGAAGTCGGCGGGGGGTGGCGCCGCTGTTAGCAGCATGGGTCTGTGACTCTCCGGTGCTTATCTAAAGCGAAAAAGCCTTTTTCTGTGGGATGAAAAAAAGAAATGGATCTTTTTATTAAAGCTTATCTCAGGTAAGGTTGACTAACAGTATTCTCATAATAATAACTTATTAAATAAGTTACAACTTTGAGAGTGGAGGATTTGAAATCCAACCTTCAAACTTATAATACACCTATAACATATCTTATAACTATTAAATTAAAAAGGACCAGCTGCAATAAGTTACACAATTGGTTACACTACTATATAATAAGGATAGAATACCCGTTGATTGACCGGATTGCACGGACTAGAACGTATAACTATAAAACAGAGACTTTATGACAAGTTCGAAGGACTCATGAATCAACCCCCGAAGGAAGGGAAGCCAAAAAAATACGTATATCACAGACCCGAATCAAATGGCACTCCTGTCCCTGGAAGCCATGAACCACCAGCCAAGAAATTCCCCACAGTGAACTGTGAAGCCTCCGTTGAACTCTTTATTACATGGTATCCGGGCCAATTTACTCTTCCACTAGTAACGGCGGCAGGACCAATATTCATATACTCACCGTAGTAAAGAGTGCTCAAGGCGAATTTCCCATTCCATGGCAACCAACCTGCAGGGTCAATCAACCCATCTAAAGTGCTCTTCATGAACACAGTTCTTGAGTATTTCTGCCACGGCCTACCCAAGTAAGTCTTGAACGAGCCTTGCACAGGTTTCAAATCTGAAGCAGCCATAACTCTTGAATTATGAATTACTATACCAGTGTTTTCATTGGGGTCCTTCCTGCCTTGTGCGGTGATGGTATTTTTCTGGTCGCTTATTGGTTTGCGCACATAGATGTTACAATTCTGGAGAACAGCTACAGCATCACCAAAAATGAAGTCTTGTGTCCCATATATGTCACATTCTCGGTAGAATTGGCGTTGGGAGTAGACATACAAGGTGTCCTGATAACCTATGAAACTACAGCGGTAAAAAACAGAGAAATCGGAACCGGATCGGAAGGCGACGGCCTGGTGCTTTTGGGGTCCGGCTGTGTTTTCGAAGGTCATGTCGCGTGCAATGAAACCGTCACCCGACACACCTATATATTTTGGGAAAAAATCAAAAGAAATAAATTAAATATTTTAAATTATAAATAATAACAATTATCATCTATCAATTATTAATTGTATTTAAATAACTAATTTAAACATCCTCTCAAATTAATTTTCTTTATAAATATGATTTTGATGATAAAATAATCTGATGAACTGATTTTGTTTGACTCCCTTTAATTAAAAATGCAATAATTTTTGAGGTTTGAATCAAAGAACTTTACCAAAAGTAGCAGAACGGAAAGTGGTTGAGCCATCTTGTTGATTCTTGCTGCCAGTAACAACCGTTGCACTGATTCCATCCCCAACAAACATTATATTCCTCAATGTCTTCTTAACTTTAATGTTTTCATTGTAAACACCCTTCTTAACATGTATGACAAATCTCTTTGACCCACTTCTCATTTTAGTAGCTGCGTCCAGAGCGTCGGTTATGGTCTTGAAGTTACCAGACCCGTCTTGCGCAACCACCAAATCCGCCCCTGGTACCGCTTCACCAGCCTGTAGGAGTTTCCTGTCGGCTGATGAAACCCATTCCGGGAATCCATCGGAAAGCAAGCGTCGAGCTCTGCCGTCTGATTTTACTGATCTCAAGCCAGTTGGGGCCGAAGCGGCCTTGTTTATGGCCAGAGAGTTGCGTACTAACTTGGAGAAGTTGCCCAACATGGATGGTAGATTATAAGAAGAAATGTTAAAATCGCTGAATCCGTTTTGGCATGTTTGATGGTTCGCAATTGCTGCACTTAGCCATGTTTGGGTGTCCACCGGATCATTGGAGCTCATTGAACGATTAAGCAGGTGAACCGAGTCCTCATAAAGCTCCTGACAGTCGGTCCATGCCAACTTGGCTCGCTTATCAAATGGACCTAAGTCCTTCGTTGAGACTAGATGGTGTGCTCGTATAGCTTGGTCCATGGTGACCTTAAGGGCAAGGTCACGGAACGAAGGCTTGGTAATTTCTTCAAGGTTTACAGCAGTATCTAAGAAATGGTTGCATACCTCAGGAAATGGTGTTTGGGAACATGATGTTGGAGGGGCAGCATGCACCAATCCTAACAAAAGAGTTAGGAATTGGGCGATAAAAAGTTGTAGTTGGGAACGTTTATGCATGGAGGACAATATAGAGATCGCAGTTTCTAAAGTTTGTGTTGATATATGGCTAGGAGGGAGGGAGAAGGTTTGTATATATAGGCATGATGACTTCCGTTAGGACAATCTGAATTAGTTGTTGCTCTCAAACGTTGCTGCATTTTATTTCAAATTTAACCAGACCGTAATCCATAGAAGACATTACATGAGTTTTGGGGTTGCAAAGTGAATTAAAAGTAATAAGATATTAAGGTTTTATCAACATAGCAAAAAGTTTTGTTATCATGAGTGTGTGTTAAGTCATCATTTAATCATTTGATAGAGGTAAGTTTTTTGATATTATAAATTGCCTTACCTGTTATTATTTTATAATATAATATAATTTAAATTACAAAATATAAAAAATTATATAAATCACTTTCTCTCATTTCTTTCTTTTTTTCACCTATTCACATGTTTCCTCTTTGAATTTCAAAATTTCTTGATTTTATCTTATTAATTAAGAAAAAAATATATTATGATTGAAGTATGTTCATGGTTTAACGTATTTGCACCATTTGTCCCTATAGATAGGCAGAGAAAGATATGGACTTAGAAGGGGGGATTTGGGGGTATTTTTCAACGTAGTTTGGGGCTATGCATGATGCGTACGTGAAAACAGAATCTTCTTAAGCTTTTTAGGGTTATGTGGTGGAGATTAATGCTTGTTGTTCAATGCCAACTAAACTTTTAGTTCAATGCCAACTATCATTTATTGATAAAGATAATGAAACCCTTGACCCAATTGGTGTACTTGATATCGTATATACATACATTGCTTCTTCACAAATTGTTCATCTTTAACGGTATCCACCCATCTCAGATTTCGCACAATTTCCAAGCAATTTCCTCAAATTTCATAGTTTTTTTTTTTTATTTTTTTATTTTTGCCATCCTTAAATTCCACACAATTATGTATCCTACTATTTTAATTATTAAATTAATAGTAATTTTCTTTTTAATGAGCTAAAAACCTAAAGCATCATCCATATTCTTTTTACTTAATAATCAAGTTACTCGGATTAATTTATACATATTTTAAGATAAATTTTTTTTTATTTATTTCTAGGCAGAAAGTGGAAGAAATTGTATACTTGATATGTACAGGTAATTTATAGACAATAAATGTTGGCATGCAATTAATTAGGAAGTGGAGGAGCTACGTACATATATTGTTTCTAAACAAGGTTGAATGCGTGGAGGAGGATTAAGTTAATAATAGACTTAATAATATTGCAGGTAAGATCTGGAATTATTGTATAATTAAGGAAAAGAAAAGTAGGACGTAGGATTTGCTTTCTCTTTAATTAGCTAGTTGCTTGTCGTGCACTAACCTATTACAGTACTTTAAACTTAGTTGTGTTGGGTGCATTTAGGTTCAAATTGTGTTGTCTCAAGTCCAGGTTTTATTGAGTTTGGTTTGAATTGTCGATTTTGCTTTGTAATTTAGTACTTTGTTTGTCCTATAATAATAGATGTTTCTTTGCTTTTACTTAGTATTAAAGATTTAAAGTTAATTTTTTTATTTTACCTATTTTATCCTTAAAATAAAAATAAAAAAAGAGATTTTTTTATGATATGATAGATAATTAAAATTAAAAGACAATTACAAAATAAAAAAAATATTTATATCCCTTAAAATATAAAAAATAATTATTCCTCTAAAATAAATTCTAAAAAAAAAAAATCTATTATTTAGAAATAAAGAGAATAATTAAAAAGAGAAAGTTTTCATTGGTTTGAATAGTCAACAAAGTTGTACATTAATTGGCATTACATGTAGGGGAAAGTATTTTACATATCATTTTTCTAAATTTATTTTGAAAGATGTGTTTAAAAATTCATATTTTCTATTCATATTTTCAAAAACTTAATATTAATTAAATTAAAAATTTTATTTATATAAATAATGTATATAAATTTTCATACTAATCTAATAGGTTTAATCATTTCGTTAACTAAAAAAATTTAATATTATTAAATGGATGTCAGTAAATAAAATTATTTTGATTAAAAAATTAAATATATATTAATAAATAAAGTTATTTTTAATAAGTCTTAAAAAAAAATTAAGAGAATCTTATGCCTTGCATTATCCTCTTAGGTATATATCTATCATCTTAAATAACGAAAATTAGTTAAAGAGCAACAACGCAACATGTATGCACATGTATTCGTATGTGTATATATATTTTGATAAATGCAATAATTAATAAATTAATATTATTAGATGTTAATAACTGAGAATTCGATTCTTAGATCGGGTGAACAATTTACCAACCTCAATAAAGTACAGGGCCATCAGGCCACTTGGTAAGAGTTCCACATGTATACGTATATGTCCGTATGTAAATAGGCAAATAGCTCTCCAACGTCGGCAAAAATGGCTCGTGAACCTTTCCCCTTCCATCCTTTCACCCTTTTTGTTTGGAACATAAGTGGTGGTTGCCAGGTGGGAGAAGCTACGTTTGGCCCCAATCAAATCTTCTTCTAATTCCACGCGGTATCTACAAGTGTCAAGTCTTCAGCCTTTTATTATTATAATTAAAATTTTTCTATCTTGTATTAGGCAAAACCATAAGTTAAGCCCCTGAACTAATCCCAGAATCGCTATTAAGCCCCTAGACTTTAATTGATGCAGTTAAGCCCTTGAACTCTAGGATCAAAGCAATTAAACCCTTCTTCTTACACTATTAAGCCCCTAGACATTAATTTTTAAAATAAATTGCTTAAGAAAAAGGGATTAATTGCTTTGATCCCAGAGTTCAAGAGCTTAACTGCATCAATTAAAGTTTAGGGGCTTAATAGCGATTCTGAGGTTAGTTCAGGAGCTTAACTTATGGTTTTGCCCTTGTATTATTTAGAACAAAAAGTGTATTTATTATATTTTTTATTATTAATATATATAATAAAATTAAAAATTAATATTAATTCTGAGGTTAGTTCAGGAGCTTAACTTATGATTTTACCTTATAACAATAGCGAGACTTATTAGACAATAATCCATTAAAATAATTCTACGGTC